TCAGGAATGTCAGGCTAGCGGGCCACCTCAGCCCCAAGGAAATGAAACTCCTCCAGGGCCTGGCTTGTTATTTGAGGCTGGCTGTCAGTAACTCCCCTACTGTGATGCAGGGAAGGTCTGGTGAAACTGGCCTGGGGGATGTGGGAGAGAGGGGGCCGTGAGCTTTCTGGTGACCCTGCGTGGGGGATTCCCAGGGAGACAGAGAGGGCCAGGCGCTCACAGGCCCTTCTCCTTTAGCTCCGCCTCTGGTGAGGGAGCGGGGACTTGGCAGGGAGTCAGCCTGGGGTTTGGTGGCAACACCACCAGGAAAGTGTGACCCACAGAAGTCACTTCCCTCTCCAGTGCTGTTTCCTCATCCATCAAATGTCAGCTTGGTTGGTCTTTATGGTCCTCTCCTGCCCTGACATCACCAGAGACCAGTCACTCTGAACCCCTCTCCCCAGTCTCTACCCAGTTGTTCCATAGACCCCCTCCATGTCACCTCTCCTCAGCTCCACCTGTCACTTCCAGCCTGCTGAGACTAGCAGAGAGTGGGCGGTACCACTGCTGAGCCCCGCCCCCCAACACCCGCCCTCCTTCCCTGGGCCGCTGAACATCCTTCCCAATATTTCTCCCTCAATGCCACTGCCAGGCACTCTCGGGGTGGGGGCAGCTTGGGAGGAAGGCAATGGGAAAGTGTGAGCCGCTACCCCCAGACCAGTGTGGGGCCCACGAGAGAGTGTCGTTGCAGCTGGGACTTCTCGGAGCTTGTCACAATAGTTAGTAATCATTGTGGGAATTTAATATTCTGCTTCCTTGCCAGGCTGGAAGTACCACTGAAGACGGGCACCAGGGATGGTTCACTGCTGTGTCCCCAAGGCTTGCAACTGTGACTTGCCAATACGTAACTGTTAAAGGAATAAATGAATAAATACCCTGAAGCACTAGAGAGGCGGACCAGAGACATCCAAATGCTGTGATCAGAAGCTTTCCATGCATTTGAAGTCATCATTATCATTATCAGTGGTGCTGAGGACTGAGTCAGGGCTTCATGAATGCTAAGTACAGGCTCTCCTACCGAGCTAGACCCCCAGCCCCTCAACATTTATTATTTACACACCAGCTAATACATACTGGGGATTAATTCCATGGCAGGATAAGTTTGCCAAGCTAAGCAAATAAGGAATGCCCAGTTAAATTTGCTTTATTTTTTTCCAGAAGATTCCACATATTTATTATTGACCCACTAGTGTAGATCAAAGAAAAAGAAAAATCCTACTCTCAATTAAACATTCCCAACTATTTAGCTTGATATGGTAACACTGACTACTGACCAAGAATATTTTGAATTTCAGTTCAATAATGAACTAGTTTTTTTGTTTTTAAGAATTTTTTTTTTTTTTTTTTTTGGTTTTTTTTTTCCTTCTTTTTTAATTTTTTTTTTTTCTTTTTTTGGTTTTTTTTTTGAGACAGGGTTTCTCTGTGTACCTTAGTGCCTTTCCTGGATCTCACTTGGTAGCTCAGGCTGGTCTCGAACTCACAGAGATCCGCCTGGCTCTGCCTCCCAAGTGCTAGGATTAAAGGCATGCGCCACCACCGCCCGGCATAAGAAAATTTTTTTTATTCATTTTACTTGCCAATCAAAGATCCCCCTCAGCTGGGTAGTGGTGGCACACGCCTTTAATTCCGGCACTTGGGAGGCAGAGCCAGGCAGATCTCTGTGAGTTCAAGGCCAGCCTGGTCTACAGAGTGAGATCCAGGACAGGCACCAAAACTACACAGAGAAACCCTGTCTCAAAAAACCAAAAAAAAAAAAAAAAAAAAAATCCCCCTCTTCTCTCCTTCTGCCCCTCCAGCCTTCCCCTCCCAACCCAACCCCCATTCCCTCTTACAAGAAGGTATGACCCCCCCATGGGGAGGTACATTTAGTAGAGGCAGGTCCAGGCCCTTCCCCCTGCCTCAAGGCTGTGAGGGGTGTCCCATCATAGGTATTGGGCTCCAAAAAGCCAGCTCATGCACCAGGGATGGATTCTGATCCCACTGCCAGGGGCCCCTTAAGCTGATCAAGCTACACAATGGTCTCGCTATGCAGAGGGCCTAGTCCAGTCCCATGCAGGCTCCACAGCTGTTGATCTAAATTTCATGTGTTCCCACTAGTCTGGTTTGGTTGTCTCTGTAGGTTTTCCCATCATGATCTTGATGCCCTTGCTCACAGAATCCTTGTTTTGTTTTTAATATAGCCATGTACCATGCAATAGGAATCTGGTGCTGTATTTGGCAGCCCTGGGCCAAATCACAATCTCTAACTCACACCAACCCTAGGACAGGGGAATTACTATTTATTACTATTTTCCTTTACAAATGAGGGTTCAGGGGCACAGAAGGGGAAAGTAACCTGCTCAAAGTCACACAGCTAAAAGTCCCTAAACCAAGGCTAGACCCCGGGCAGTGAAAAGTCTACTTTATATGTTTCTTCTGTAGTACTAGGAATTGAACTGAATTGGCTTGTGAACGCTAGGTTAGCAAGAGTACTGCCATTGAGATGCTTCCTCAAACGTTTTGTCTGGTTTCACTTAGGGTCTCATGTGTGAGTCTCATGTGTCCCAGGCTGGCCTCAAAGTCACTGTGTGGCAGGCATGACCTTGAACTCCTAATCCTCTTGCCTCAGCCTTCCCAATTGCTGGGGTTACAGGTGTACTCCAAAACACACAGCTCTGGCCCTTTGCCTACTTTTGTTTTGGTTTGTTGTTTTTTAATTTATTTATTTTTATTTCATATGCACTGGTGTTTTGCCATGGGTGTCGGGTCCTCTGAAACTGGAGTTACAGAGAGTTGTGAGCTGCCACCCAGTGCTCTTAACCACTGAGTCATCTCTCCACTGTTTACTATTGCTTTAAGACAGAGTCTCACTAAGTCACCCAGGCCGGCCATGAACTTGCAACCAGCAACACAAAAATACATCTCTCGCTTCAAAGAAAACATGCTGGTTCTTGAGTTACATGTGCGTGACCAGAAAGGCATGGTCCACTGTGGAAGTGGTTATATGGCGGGGGGGGGGGGGGGTTATTATTTACAAGACAAAGAAAGTTGTAACTCAAAGCAGTTACGAAAACTTTGGTGAGACCACAGGTAGGTGTGTCCAGCAAGTGAGGAAACACCCCTATAGTTTCGGACGGTGTCTGAGGATCTTGTTAAGCTTTTGGCATGGTGGAAGCTAGTGTTTGGCTAAGAATACATTTTAAAGATTTTGGTAGTCATAAATTGTTAGGTCAGACAGAGGGATAGGCAGTGATTGGCTTTCCAAGTGACAAAGAATGGCCCAGACAAGGTGTCTCTGGTCTAACTCTTTCAAATCACAAAGTTCAGTCATTTGGTCTTTTAACATGGATCTAGCCTCCTCTCTCTCTCTCTCTCTCTCTCTCTCTCTCTCTCTCTCTCTCTCTCTCACACCTTCAGTTCACATGATCCTCAAGCCTCTGCCTCCTGAGTAGCTGGGATGATAGGTCCTTTCTACCTGAAGATGGACTTAAATCCGAACTGGGAGCCCTTTCCTCCCGGGTAGTGCCCAGAAGCAGGGGCACAGGGCTGGGCTCTGGAATCCAACAGGGAAATGTCACCAGACAAGAAGAATAATATCTTTGAGGGGGACCGGAAGAAGGACAGGGGGCAAGGGCTGGTTGGAGTGGGGCAGATCCTGCCGCGGTCTCCTGCTTGTCTCTGCTCTGTGAAACAGGTATGAACAGATCCAGTGTCTCTAATTCCAAATCCAAGGACCAGATGTGTTTTGAAACTCAGAACGTGCCAGATTTTAGAAAGAAACTTTAGGGTTGGGGACAGTCAGTAAAGTGCTTGACATGGAAGCAGGACCTGAGTCCAATCCCAAGAACCCATACAGAAAGCTCAGTGACCCACCTCAGCACTGGAGAGGAGGAGACAAAAGGGTCCCCGAGATGAGAACCCTGGGGTCTCAAAGACAGGTTGATCCTGTCTCAAAAAAGAAAGTAAACAACAGCCTGGAGAACGACCTCCGGCCTGCATACACAGGTAGACACACGTCCTGGATATAAGACGGAAGAAGAAAAGCAAGGCAAAATTCTAAACTACTTGAGGCGGGAGGATAGCCTGGGCTACAAAGTAAGATCCTGCGTGGAGGGACTGGGGAGAAAAAGAGGAGGGGAAGAGGGGAAGTAGAAGTCGTCTGTGGGCCCTGAACTTCCCGGGGGCTGAAGTGGCCACAGTTCTGATGTGTATTACATAGCACCTTGGGGGTGCTGGCTGCCCCAGTCTGTATTCTAGAACAGGTCGGTCTCTGTTTGTAAACCTCCCCAACATTCTCAGTAAGTGGGGAAATGAGGACCATAACTTGGCCCCTCCCTGCCCCCCAGTTAGTTCAAGACTCAGCATCCTAAATTCCTTCATGGATTCCGGATGGGGATTCCAGCGTGGGTGCAGCGGTGCCCGGGAGGAGGCTGGCTGCCCGCGGAGGTGGCGGCTAAGGAGTTTCCAGAAAGGAAAAGCAGCGGCTGCAAGCCGGCGGGACGTGGCAAGGCGAGCTGCACCCCCATCCTGTGAACGGGCGTTCCTAGGCTGCCTGCGCCCTGAGTCACCGGCCCGCGGCGGAGTGGAGCTCAGGAAGGCGGCGGACCTAGGGCAGCGGGTGGGCGGCGGGAGACGGGCGAGCGAGCGAGGGCACGACCAGCCAGCGCCTGTGACTCAGCGAGACCCCCGCTGGTGCAGCCGAGCCAGGCTGCTGCTGAGCCTGGTGGGGGACGCACCGTCCAGTCCCCAGCTCCTAGGGGAACGCCCCTCTGAGACCAAAGGCTCTTCAGCAGCCTCCAAAAGGGACCAAGGAAAAGAATAGCACACTTCGTTTCTGTGTATTCTGTGCTATCCCTTTGGATGTTTTGTTCTTGTTTAAGATGGGTTCACTTTGTAGACCAGGCTGACCTTGAACGCCCGGTGTTCCTCCTGCCTCAACCTCCCAAGTGCTGGAACGACAGGCATGCACTGTCACACCTAGTTTAATTTTAATTTGTCTTTTACATAATTCATTCATACTTGGAAAATGTAAGATAACAGCGGCCTCAGACGTAGTTGCACACCTGATTTCATATCAGCACTGCTCATATGAGCCAAAGGGTGGAAGCTTCGAGTGCTGGAGCAGGATAAATGAGTGAACAGAACGCCGTCTGAACAGATGTCTGTACAGAATTATCAGTTAGCATTAAGACTGGAAAACGAAAACAAAAACGTGTCTTCAATCCCAGCACTCAGGAGATTTGAGGCAAGGGGATCGCTGCGAATTCCAAGCCAGCCTGGGCTACATAGTGAGCTCCAGACTTGGCATCCAGAGTGAGATCTTGTCTCAAAATGAATAAATAGACAGCTAGATAAGAAGGCAGGGTGGAGATGAGTAAGAATGGTAGGTATGGGTGGGAATGCCATAGGGAACACATTACTTCATATGCTCTTAAATGCCAACTCAGTGGGCCAGGAGAGATGGCTCAGCAGTTAGGATCACTCAATGCTCTTGCAGAGGGCCCGGGTTCAGCTCCTAGCAACCACATGGGACTCCTCACAGCCTGTAATGCCAAGGGATCCGAAGTCATCTTCTGGGTGGCATACACCTGCAAGTACATGGTGCACATAAATAAACTCACGGAGGCTCACAGATACACAGATACACACATACACACACACACACACACACACACACACAAGTAAATTTTAAGAATGAACTCAACAATTAAAGAAGGCCTTTTTGAAATGTTACAACATGAATGAATCTTGAAGGTCTACTTAATAAGTCAAACACACACACACACACACACACACGCACGCACGCACGCACGCACGCACGCACTAAAATAAAATAGTGTGATTCCACTTACATGAGGCACACAGGGTAGCCTTGTTCACAGAGGCAGAAGGCAGAATGGTGTTTGCCAGTGTTCCGATCTAAAATGTAGCATTTCAGTGCAGCAAGACAAAAAGGTCTTTGAAAATGAATGGTGGGAATAGTTTCCAGTGAGTGCTCATGAAGGGAGGGAGGGAGGGAGAGAGAATAGGCATTGATGTAATACCATTGAACTGTATACCTAAAAACGGCTAAGCCTAGATGGGCATGGCTCAGCCTGTAATCTCAGCCACTTGGGAGGCTGAGGCAAGGAGCCTTACTTGAGCCCAGGAGTCTGAGACCAGCCTCAGCATCATACTGAGATCCTCGCTCAACAACACTGATAAGAACGACTCAAGGGTTAAGTTGGATGCATATTTTACAACTTAAAAGAAAACATGGAAAGGAAAAGTCACCCTCCCAATCCACCTCCAAGTCGTCTAATCCCAGCCCCCCCCCCCAAACACTTGCTGTCACTAGTTTTGTGTATCCTTCCAGAGAGATCTAGGCACAGACAAGCAAACCATATAGACATGTATCGGTGCAGAGGTGTAAGTACAAATCCACGCAGAGGGCATCCTCCAACACTTTCCCCCTTTAAAAAATGCAAGCGGCTGCATGAGCTGTGCTCTACCTTGTCTATTAAAAATGCAACTTGGAGACCTTTCTAGACCTTTACTTAACTAGTTTCCTTATCCCCTCCCCCCAGCAAAACAGCTCTATTAAGAGTGAGGTCATCCACAGTAAGGATGCTTACCAGTCAACAATCTTAACAAATTCATAAAGCCATGCAGTTATTATCACAGTCCAGTTTAAGCGTATTCCCATTGTCCCATCAAGTCCCTTTGGGTTCATCGAGGTTCATTCCCACTCCCATCTCTGATGCAGCTGACCACTGATTCAATGCCTCTGTCAACTTGCCTTTTCCCGAATTTTCATATAAGTGGAATCATGTGTGTGGAATTACACACTTTTGGAATTATTCCATATTGTTGCATATGTTTAATTATTAATTATTCCATATTGTTCCTGTTTGCTGTCAAGTAGTGTTTCATGACACACATTTCATATTTTGCTTAATATTCATCAGTAGATGAACATTTTGATATTTCTAGGTTTGTCATTATTATTATGAATATTCATGTTTAAGTCCTTTTGTGGGTATATACTTGTATTTCCCTTGGATATTATCTTAGTTAGGGTTTCCATGCTGTGAAGAGACACCATGACCATGTCAACTCTTACAAAGGAAAACATTGAATTGGGGCCGGTTTACAGTTCAGAGGTTTAGTTCATTATCAGCACAATGGGAAGCATGGCGGCATAAAGGCAGGCATGGTGCTGGAGTGGCAGCTGAGAGTTTTACAACCAGATCGGCAGGCAGCAGGAAGAGAGAGACACTGGGCCTGGCTTGAACATCTGAGACCTCAAAGCCCGCTCCCAGTGACACACTTCCTCCAACAAGGCCACACCCCCTAATAGTACCACTCCCTTCTAGTCTGTGGGGGCTGTTGTTGTTCAAACTTCCCCAGGAAGACACCAATAAATAAAATTACTAGGCTGTCTGATTTTGTGTGTGTGTGTGTGTGTGTGTGTGTGTGTGTGTGTGTGTGCATGCACATACATGTGGTTTTTTTGCTGGAGATAGAAACCAGGCTCTCAAGCATGCAGGCAAGCACTCTGCCACTGAACTACTTCCCCAAGTCCAAGTTCATGAATTTTAAGAAAATGCCAAACTGTTTTCCAAAGTGGCTAAGCCATCTTAGGAGCAAATGAGAGCTCTAATGTTTCCATACTCTCGTTGAACTTTTTAAGATGTATAGCCAAGTCAGTACATGACTTTTTAAGATGTATAGCCAAGTCAGTACATGTGCGGTGATATTTCCTTGTGATTTTGTGTCTCCCTAACAAGGGATGGCACTGGGCATTCCATGCACCAATTAGCCATTCATATGATAGCTATGATAAAACGTCTGTCTTAGTCAGGGTTTTGTTGCTGTGAAGAGACACCACGACCGTGGCAACTCTTATAAAGGAAAACATTTAATTGGGGTGGCTTACAGTTCAGAGATTTAGTCCATTATCATCACAGTGGGAAACATGGCGGCATGCAGACAGACACGGTGCTAGAGAAGGAGCTGAGAGTTCTACATCCAAAATGGCAGGCAGCAGGAAGTGAATGAAACACACTTCCTCCAACAAGGCCATACTCACTCCAACAAGGCCACACCTCCTAATAGTGCTGCTCTCTATGAGCCTATTGGGGCCATTTTCTTTCAAACCACTAAGTCAGCTGGGCAGTGGTGGCGCACACCTTTAATCCCAGCACTTGGGAGGCAGAGCCGGGCGGATCTCTGTAAGTTCGAGGCCAGCCTGGTCTATAGAGTGAGAGCTAGGACAGGCACCAAAGCTACACAGAAAAAACAAAAAACACTTCATCTGTTGTAGTCTTTTATCTACTTTAAAACCTTGTCTTTTGCCTCATTTTCTGCTTTTGTTTTCTTCCATCTTGTCTGAGAGAGATCTAGCAGAGTAGCTTAGGCTAGTCCAGAACTCACTATGTTGCCCAAAAGTACCATCCTCTTGCATCAGCCTCCCAGGTGCTGGATGATAGGTGTGCAACACCATGCTTGGCCGTTTGTCTCATTATCACTGAGTTATAAGAGCGCATCCTTTTGGAGCTCAGTAGTAGTCCATCATGTAGATAAGCCTTAGTTTGCTTAACTTGCTTCCTGTTGATGGCTCTCTCTCTCTCTCTTTGTCTCTCTCTCTCTCTCCCCCCGCCCCTTCTCCCTCGTTCCTGACCTCCCTCTCTCCTTCATCTGCTGCTGAGGTTTAAACCCAAGGGCCTTGCACATGCTAGGGGAGCCCTCTACCATTTAGTTTCCATCCTCAGTCCCAGATACATTCTGGAATTTTCAAACACTCGGAGGGTGGTTGCCCCATCAGCAGGGTCAGAACAGAGAGGCTGCCTGGCTTGTTAGTGCCCTGTGTCCCTGAGGGTACACAGGAAGACAACGTGGTTTGGAAGAGGCTTGCAGGGGCTGTAAGCAGCACTGGGAATGGGTCCTGAGATCCCAGGTTTCTCTTCTAGAAGCTGTCCACTGTGGGGCAGAGAGAAGGGGGTGTGCAAAAGGGGAACAGCTTGGGAAGCCAGCAGTGTGGACTGGCTTGACACAGGATAGAAGGAGACCAGACCAGGAGGTCCAGTTTGATGATCGGGAGGCCGGGCCTGACAGCTCCAGCCGCCAGTAGACTAGGAAGACCCTTGGTCTGCTCGGTTCTGTTCCCAGCAGCCTGGGTTTGGATTTGCCTTGAGTCCTATCTCCACTCTAGAGCGCCCCGGGGTTTACAAAACATGAGCTGTGTGGGCCACCATGCTGCCAACAAATGGAGCCCTGGTGCCTGGCTTTGTTGAGCTGTGATGACTCACCTCCAAATCTCCATGGAAACCAACACAAACTTCTTTACACAGGTGTAGTTTTCTTCCATGCAAGGCAGTATATAGCTGGCAAGTCTCCAGGTCAGCTGTCCCTTGCTCAGTGACCCAGGGATCTGGGAAGCTACTTTTTGATGGCTAGATCTAGAAAACAGGAAAGTTGGAGAGCATGGGTCACCAAGGGGGATCCACTACCTGCACACTGGATGTGCCCCCCGAAAAGGAAACAGAGTCACATGAGGAACGCAGACTTTGTGCTGGACACCAAAGTTAAAGCTAAGCTCTTCTCTCATGGGCTGTAAACCTTGGGAGATTAACTGTGCCTCTCTGAACGTTTCTTCCTTTCTGTACAAAGTGGAGATGAAGCAAAAGTCCCTACCTGATGAGGCTGCTGCAAAGCCGGACCAGCTCACTCTAATGCCCAGCACACGAGGAATCATTGATAAGTAAACTGTTCTAATTAGCTCTCCATGTGGGGAAAGTTGACTATGCTCAGCGTGTGACTGAAAACCACAGCAGAGGCCTGGGCTGCAGCTCAGTAGAAGAGAAGTAGCCTACCTCACAGGAGGCCCGGCTTCAGTCCCTGCCAGGAAGAAGGGAAGCAGGAGAGAAAAGAGGGGAAAAGAGAAGAGGGAACCAAGAGGGAGAGGATTGCATGTGATCTCAACAATGCATTAGGCATATCGACTCCCTTTAAATAAGCAGCCCCCTTCTCTGCTTCTGCCTGGGGTCCTGGGCTGTCTTCGCCGCCCTTCTAAGGGGATCCCTTCTAACTTCTAACCAATGAATGTGTCTACTTCCTATTCCCAGAGCACACGTGATGTCTTGGTGTAGCTGGAGAAAGGACCTTGATCCTCAGCTGGAGAAACCGCCAACGGTGAACCAGTGAGATGGGGGCTGTGTCCCCAGGCATTGCCCCCACTCATGACAAACATTCCTTAGGTAGAATGGGTGCCTTCCATGTGAATATTAAGTTCCCTGGAAACCTTCTTGGAAGACATCAGATATCTGAAGAAGCGGGCCCCTGAGTGGCTGAGGGAAGGAGGGGCTGAGGGCACCCCAAGCCACTTCAAAGATGGAGAACGCATGGAGAACCCATGATGGCGACGGAGCAGAAGACAGGCCCTCCCTTTGCAACAGCCCCTCCAGTTTGCAGGTGAGGCCACAGGACTGGCGAGGGCTCCGCCATCCTTGACGGCGGGGGTACCAAAGTCTAAGCTCCCTTCCTGGCACCGGTTGTCACTGGGAAACCGTTAGGAAGCCGGGACGTTTCCAGGCCTCTTTGGCCCTGTGACAGGTTCTTACCAATGGAGCTGAAACAGCATGTGTCACTCTGGGCTGTGTGTGTGTGTGTGTGTGTGTGTGTGTGTGTGTGTGTGTGTGTGTACCATCTAGAGGTGGATGCCCTACGCCTTCCTCATCCCCTCTTCACCTTCCTTTTAAGATAGCCTCTTCACTGAGCCTGGAGCTCACCCACCCATTCAGCTAGACTAATCAGTGAGTTCTGGGTGTCTGTCTGCCTCCCAGCTACTGCCATCCAAGGGCTGAGGTTACAGACACATCTGGGCATGCCCAGCTTTTATATGGGTGTGAGGATTTGAATTCAGGTCAACCAGCACGCACGGAAGCACTTTACTGATGAACTGTCTCCCCAGTCCCCTGGACCTGACTTCTGAGGTGTGGCCTCTCACAGAAGTCTCTTTTCATCCCCACAGGTCTGGTGGAGAAGGGAATGACTTAGAGTGCCTCGTATGTGAAAAGTCTAGTGTCTAAGTCATTGCATGGAGGACATCCCGCCAAACTGGTGAGCTGGTAGTGACCAAGGGACAGACACAGTGTACTTGAGGATCTGTTAGTTACATGACAAGCGTGGTCTTAACATACAGTGAGCATGCCTTTCTTTAAAGGGCTGTGAGTGCACTGTGAGGGGACAGAGGGACAGACGCTCCCTTTGGCACAACCCTTCTCATCCCTTTTGACTTCCAGCAGGAAAGCGCCCTTGTCTTCTCCCCTCCTTTCTCAGCCACGCCCTTCCCATCGAGACAGTGATGGGACCCAGGCCGGGTGGGGTTGGGGCTTGTCCGGGTTTTCTACTTCTTAGGAATCTTTCCTCATTGCATGAGCTGGAAGTTTTGGCTGCTTTGAGAGACGTGGGCAGCTGACTCTGTAACTGGGTGGAGCACCATGAAGAAATGATGGAGCTGGTGGCAGTCAAAGAGAAAGAGACTCAAGGCAGTGGGAGCTAGGCTGTATGCTCGGAGTCGGGAAAGCCCAGGTTTCGGCTTCCATCTCCCCCCGGCAAGTGGAGACAGTCAAGGGCAGAAGCGACGCAGCTTTGAAAAGGGTAAACTACACCTCCTGGACCACGAAGCTAGCTACCACTTGGTCCCTGAGGGCCACGCCCGTCCTAGCCCACGGTGGCAGCTCTGCCTGAGGGCTGGAGAGATGGTACATCTGGGAGGGGTCTAGGGACAGGAGGACTCCCCTGGGACCTCAGCATTGCCCTGGCTTCTCTTTTCAGAAGAATGATCCAGAAAGGCACCTGTCGGGATAGGGAAGTCAGCATCCCACCCTGCTGTTCATCCAGCCTCCCTCCCATCACATGGCCACCTTCCTCCCACCTTCTCAGATCTGCAACTACCAGTAATTGTCACCTCCCTGGTTCCCACTTCCCCAAACCTACAATACCTTGATGACCTGTCTTTTCTGCCACTGTTTTGATGTTTAGCTCTGTGGCTAGTGATAGAAACACGTGATTTATAAACTTTCCATCCACTGTGGGACTTTCATGTTGTTTTATTTTATTGTTTGAGACAGCATCTCATGTAGCCCAGGCTGGCCTCAGACTTACTATACCGCTGAGGCTGGCCTTGAACTCCTGATCCTTCTGCCTCCACTTCTCAGGGGCTGGGAATACAGGTGTGCACCACCACACCCAGCTATAATAACATTTTCATGTACTTATTTTTGTGCCTCCCACCCACCCACCAACACACACAAATGTACAGTTCACAGCACATATGTAAAGGCCAGAGGACAACTTGCAAAGGTCGATTTTCTCCTACAGCGTGGTCACTGGGGATGGAACTCAGCTCATCAAGCTTGGGTAGTAATGACCTTACATGCGGAGTCACCTCTGCCCTCCAACGGTATTTTAACAAAGCACAAAATCCTTAGGAATAAGTTTCACAAAAGATGTCTAAGACTTCTACAGGAAAGACTAAGAAAGACTGCTAAGAGATATTCAGGAAGTCCTAACTCAGTGTAGGGTGTAGCTCAGTGGCAGAGCATTGGCCTAGAATATACAAGGCCTTGGGCTCTATTCTTTGTATCTGCAAGTGTGTGCATGTGGGCATGCACGCACACGCGTGCGTGCGAACACACAAAGGAAGATCTTTCAGCAGACTATGTCGGAACAGCTGCGTGCTCGTACAGACAAAACCAAACATCAGGTCCTTCTTCCTCATATATAAAAATCTTAGAAATCAACCAAAAACTAAAACCGCGACTTTTCCAGAAGAAAATGCAGGAACATCTCTTTGGGACTTCAAATAAGCAAAGAGACCTTAAAATGTATCACAAGAAGCAAGAAGCACTTTTTTCAAGATTGACAAAGTAGACTTCTACCAAAATTAAACAGTTCACTGGGCGGTGGTGGTGCACACCTTTAATCCCACCACCCAGGAGGCAGAGGCAGGTGGATCTCTTGTGAGTTCAAGGCCAGCCTGGTCTACAGAGTGAGTTCCAGGACAGGCTCCAAAGCTACACAGAGAAACCCTGTCTCGGAAAAAACAAAACAAACCAAAACAACAACAAAACAAATCTGCAACAAAACACCAACACCCACCCACCAGGATAGCTAAAATTAAAGACTGACACCAAGAGTTGGCAAGGAAACGCAGCAATGGCCCTTCTCTTGCATTGTTGTTAAGTCTGTGGACACACACACACACACACACACACACACACACACACACACTACATAAAGATGTGGCCGTTTCTTTCATAGTGAAACCTATAGATAGCCAGCAACCCCCTCTTAGTTAGGTCTTTACATAAGTGAAAGACACATCTAAGAATGGTCAGAGCTTTCTGTGTTCAAACTCTACTTGGAACAGCCCTGGTGACTACCTAGAGAATGGAAAATTCTCCTGATAGAATCGTGTGATGGAATATGAATCAGCAATAAAAGAGGTCAACTACCAAATATGAACAGCAACATGAGCGAATGTCCTGTGGTGGTGACTTAAAGAGACATGGAGAGGCTTTCTAACCTGATTCAATTTCTGTGGAAGACCCAAAAACAAATGAAAGTAATGTAGGGTGAAGGATTAGAGTAGTCTGGAACTCAGATGGAGGAATGTTCTGGAGTGTTCCTAGTGTCTCTTGATGGGAATTTCAGGGATGGGTACAGGCGTCTGTTCCCTAATGTGGAAATAAGATCTATGCACTTTCTTATGTGATTTTTGCCTTAGAAATAATCTTCAGAAGTGACTGGGGTGTGGTTCAGTGGCAAGGTTGTTAGGAAATGTGAGGCCCCGGGCTCTATTCACACAGGCATACACACCACCATTGAACTCCAATGATGTGTATTATGAAGTGGATTAGAAACAGATGCATTGATGTCTGTGACTTTCTTTGAAATAGTTAAGACCAAAAAAAAAAAAAAAGATGGAGGATGTATGGATAGATGAATGGCTAGAAAGGAGCATGTATAGAAATATGATTAAGCAATTAGAGCAAACAATTGATAGAATTTAGGTAATAGATGTGTAACATGTATGTTCACTGTTTCTGTGTGTGTGTGTGTGTGTGTGTGTGTGTGTATGAGTGTGTGCATGCTTGAGTGTTTTTCTTTTTTCCAGTGTGGGTGATTTTGGTGTGGGGGTGGCTCACATCCTAGCAAGGCAAGCTCAGTCAACTTCAGCTGAGCCATCTCTCAGCACCTTCCCAATTTTTTTTTTTTTTTGCTTGAACATCACAGAACTTGTTTCGTAAAAGGCAGAACACAACCTGGGTCTTTTTCTTTCTTTTTTGAAAGGTTTGTTCTTCTTCTTTTTTTTTTTTTGGTTTTTTGAGACAGGGTTTCTCTGTGTAGCTTTGCACCTTTCCTGGAACTCGCTTTGGAGACCAGGCTGGCCTCGAACTCACAGAGATCCGCCTGGCTCTGCCTCCCGAGTGCTGGGATTAAAGGCGTGCGCCACCACTGCCCGGCTGTTCTTTATTTTATGTGTTTGAGTGTTTTGCCACATGCATGCAGTGCCCAAGGAGGCCAAAAGAGGGTGTCAGTTCCTTGGAACTTGAGTCATAGACAGTTACGAGGCAACATGTGAATGTGGGACCTGAACCTGGGTCCTCTGGGAAAAAAAGTGCTCTTAACTCCTGAGCTGTCTCTCCAGCCCCAGCCATTGAGACCTTGTGTAGCACAAATATTGAAAGGTCTTATTGAGCCGGAGGGGTGGTGGCACACGCCTTTGATTCCAGCACTCGGAAGGCAGAGGCAGGCAGATCTCTGTAAGTTCGAGGCCAGACTGATCTACAGAGCGAGATCCAGGACAGGCACCAAAACTACACAGAGAAACCCTATCTTGAAAAGAACAACAACAACAACAAAACAAAACAAAACAAAAAATAGGTCTTATTAATAAAACAAAACAAAAACCAGAGCCAGATATTGGGGTGAAGCCTGAAAGATCAGAGAAGCAGAAAGGCTAGCCACTAGCTTACCTCTACAAAATCCTCAGCCTCAAGAGAATGAGTTCCTGTTTCTTTACGCCTTATATACCTTTCTCTGCCCAGACATCACTTCCTGGGATTAAAGGCATGTGTGTTTCCCAAGCAAAGGCATGAGATCTCAAGATTAAAGTTGTGTGCCACTTCCTGGCTCTGTTTCCAGTGTGGCCTTGAACTCCAGACAGATCTCTGCCTCCTGAGTGATAGAATTAAGGGTGTGTGCCACCACTGTCTGGCCTCTATGTCTAATCTAGTGGCTGGCTCTGTCCTCCAGCAAGCTTTATTGGGGTACACAATACATTACCACACCCTGAGCTCTTCCTCATTACCCAGCTGCTGGAACTGAGATAACCATCCTTTCTCCCCTTCAAGTCCCCCCTCTGGGCTCCCTGCATCTCTAACACATTCTCACTCTTTTCTAGAAACTTCTTCCCCTACCCCCTGGCTCTAATAGAGCTCAAGCTTCCTCTGAGAGGACACTTTCTCCAAAGAATGCTATTTTCTCTCTTACTCTCCAGCTTTGGAGCCAGCAGGGGCAGCAGGAGGTGCGTGTCTGCACCCCATTTTCTCTTCCCCTCGCTCAAGAACTATAGCTCTTTTGAAGTTTCACCATCACTGGCCTCATCGTTCCCCTCTGCTGTCTCTTCTCGACCCGCCTCCCAGTTCACTGTCCTGGACTCCTAGACAGTCTGCTCTCCACCCTCCACCCCTGTCAACACTTGAGATCTCACCTCAGTTGGGTGGTGAGAATTCTGGTTTCTCAGTCCCGTGAAGTCCTCACTTCCAGAGATCTGTTACTCCACTCCAAATCAGGGTGAACGCTCTAGCCCATTCACACAGCATACTCCAGGCTTTTCCCACCTCTGACCTCTCAACTGCAGCACGCCATACTCAGACACCATGTTCCACCCTCTCCGGCCCTCCTCCCACAC